GGGAGCTGCTGGGGGGTAGGAAGGAGATTGGTGTGCAGCAGGCAAGGGGATGGGTGGGAGGAAGAGGTTCACAGAAACAATGGATGCAAATGCCTTCACAAAACCCATTCATTTCTCTTCTAATTTTTTAACTAATAAAAAAATAAAACTGAAGGGAAAAAGGAGAACCATTTATAGCTATCATAGAGCTTGTTTCTAATGACAATAAAAGCATTTCAAATAAATAAAGCTTTAAAAATGCCTTCAGGAAGGGCTGGAGAGATGGCTCAGAGGTTAAGAGCACCGGCTGACCTTCCAGAGGTCCTGAGTTCGATTCCTAACCATCACATGGTGGCTCACCACCATCTGTAATGAGATCTGGTGCCCTCTTCTGGTGTGCAGGCATGCATGCCAGCAGAATACTGAATACACATGATAAATAAATAGACCTTTTTAAAAAAATGTCTTCAGGAATCAAAGTGAAAAGATCTCCCATTATCATCAATTATGATAATAAACACAATGAAGCAGAACACATCAAGTATTCTTGAATCAGGTATCACATACTTCTTTACAGAAGTATACAGTGCTATCCATAAGGCAGTTATGTGAAAAGGGCACACACAAATCAAACTTGAACCTTATTGAAACTCATATAACTACTAATTAGGCAATACAGGAAACAAGAAAAAAGACAAACATCTTAGGGATAATACAGTGAGCAAAATCCAGATGGTAATGAACTCTTCGAAATAAATGATGCAAGTTTCTTCAAATAAGAAAATTCAAGGAAAAAGTGGGGAGTATTTATATCAAATTTAACATATATATATCAACAAGCTGGCATACACACTTAATATAGATTTAAAAAATTATGGCCTAATGGGAGAAATGATAATGCTGGTTGAATACTTGATATAGGGCTAGGCATAGTGGCACATGCCTGTAATCCCAGAACTCTGGAAACAGAGACAGATGGAGCTCTATGAGTTCAAGATCAGCCTGGTCTGCATAGTGAATTCTAGGCAGGCCAAGGCTACATGAATGAGACCTTGGCTCAACCTGAATGCCCCTCCACAAAGAAGTTATTATCAGGACTGTAGATGCAGCTCAGTGGTACAGTGCCTAGCATGTATAAGACTCTGGATTCAATTCTAAACAACACACACACACACACACACACACACACACACACACACACACACACACACACATTACAGCTATAGTTAAGGCACAATGTATTAGAAGTCTGAGGTAGTACTTGAGATACTACATTAATTAAGGTCATGGGTACTTGAGATACTACATTAGTTAAGGTCATGGGAGTGGTCCAGAAAAGAAATATATTCCAGATCTAAAGACATTTTATAGGCAATTAAAAATGAACAGAACAAGGGGGATGGTGGTGACTCACACCTTTAATCCCAGCACTTGGGTGGCAGAGGCAGGTGGATCTATGTGAGTTTGATGCTAGCCTGGTTTACAGAGTGAGCTCCAGGACAGCTAGGGCAACACAGAGAAACCCTTTCTCAAAAAGACAAAAACAAACAAAATCGAACATTTTAAAATAAGTGCCAGAGAGATGGCTAAAAGGTTAAGAGCATTGACTGCTCTTCCAGAGGTCCTGAATTCAATTCCAGAAACCATATGGTGGCTCACAACTATCTATAATGTGATCTGATGCCCTCTTCTGGAGTGCAGGCAGAATACTGTATACATAATAAGTAAATAAATCTTTAAAAATAAATAAATAAAACAAAATAAATTATGGTCTAGGGAGAGAGATCAGTTTATAAAAGCTTGCTACATAAGTATTAGGACTGGTGTTTGGATCCTTGTGCCCACATAAATGTTGGGCAGATGTGGTGGTCTACTTGTAAATCTAGCACTGGAAAGGCAGAAACAGGTCATTCCAGGAGCAAGAGACTTAGATAGACTAGCCATTCCATTAGCTCTAGGTTAAATGGAGACACTACCTCAATGTGGAGAGCAATTTAGGAAGATTTCCAACTATCCTTGGGCCTCCACAGACATGCTCACAAACCATACAGATATGTAACAAAGAAGTTGCTGTTAAATTATTTTAGATTGAATATTTGGTTATTTGAGAAGTTCTTATCTTTGAAAAAACATGTCAAGATATTTATGGATAAAATTATATATCAAGAACTTGCCTAGAAATAATTAGTGCAAAGGTTTAGAAGTAGGATAGGTAAGGTATGTAAGAAAAAGGATTGACTATGAATTGATAACTATTGAAGTAAAATGACAGGAGTTCATTATTCTGTTATTTCCACTCTTGTATACATTGGAAAATAGTCATATAAAAATTTCAGGCCAGGCATTGGTGGTGCATGCCTTTAATCCCAGCACTCAGGAGGCAGAGGAAGGAGGATTGCTGTGAGTTCAAGGCCAGCCTAGTCTACAGAGCTAATTCCAGGACAGGCTCCAAAGCAATAAAGAGAAACCCTGTCTTGAATAACAAAACAAAATTATAAAATTGCAGGGCCTAGTCACATGCTCAGAAGGCAGAGGCAGGTAACTCTGTGTTTAAAGCCAGTCTGGTCTACACAGTGAATTTCTGGACAGCCAGAGCTACATAATGAGACCCTGTCTCAAATAAATAAAAATAAAATAAAATGCTTATATATGTAGATGATATTTCTGGAAATCAGGTAATAGTAATTGTCCTTAGGAAGAGGAACCAGTCCTGTATGACAGGGAGGCAAGGTAAAGACTTACTTTTTGCTTAGCAATTATGCTATCTAGTGTATGCTAAATTAATTACTTTTGCAGCCTTTTTGTTGTAGCCCTGGCTGTCCTGGACTCACTCTGTAGGCCAGGCTGGACTCAGACTTTGGAGATCTGCCTGCCTCTGCCTCCTGAGTACTGGAATTAAGGGGTGTGCCACTACCACTCAACTAAGAGCCTTTTAAAAAAATACATATTTACAGATATTTTCTCTGCCAAATTATTATCATCAACAACATATGCTTTAGTACATTTTGCTTATACTCTGTTCTTGACCCCATATCATACCCTTGAGATACGATTTTACTTCTGCATTCTTGTTTATAGTCATAAAAATTCTTATTTTCACTTATTTCCTCTCTCAAACATAACATTCTACCTGAATATGGTTTCCTTCCTCCCTATTTTCCTGAAACTATCCTTGTCTAAGTTGTCAATGAGTTGCTAATGCACAAAGGGACAGTCTACAGACCTTTTATCTGATCTCTTGTCTATTATTGAAGATTTAAAATTGTTTATCTGGATGGATTTCATGGTGCACACCTTTAATCCCTGTCCTTGTACCTCAGGCTCCCTAGTACTGGGATTACTGGAATGCACCACTCTGCCTAGCTTTTGCCTCTCCATCCTCAATATCAAGGTTAATCAATACTATAAAATATTTTAATAGAAGGGAAGACACAGATGTGTACCAAGTCAATGAAGTTTATTGTGTCTGACTTATAAAATAGGAGGATTCATAATAGTATTGCAAGGAAAATATATTCCTTGCTGAGGATGTTGCCTAATTGGTAGAATGCTGGCCTAGAATGCTGGCCTAGCACGAACTAGACTTGACTCCTCAGAACTACATAAGACTGGGTATAGTAGAAAGTTTGAGGCCAGCCTGGGACACATGAAACCTTGTCTCATACAAACGTACATATTTAAATATATGAAAGATCTGCATCAGTTAATACATAGATCAAACTATTATCTTTGTCTACAGAAAAAAATATTAGTATCTTTATTATTCACAAAATATTTGACTTACCAGCATGCACTACTTTATAACTTAAAAACAATTCTTAAATTATTAATTAAAAATCCCAACATTTTCTTGTTTTATAAAAGAAAAATAGAGAAAGCAAGAAAGAAGAATTTATTGTTGTTATAACTCAGTTTTTAGGAATAAGTCTTGGATTAAAAAACCCTGTCTATACAACCAGTTCTGTGACTCTGGGCAAGAGTCTAATCTAATTTTATTGATTTGTAAAAAGGGAACCCATAATAGTATCTGCCTACTAAGCTTGTTCTGGAGATTAAATGCAGGTGGTATTTAACACAATGAATGGTTATAATAGGGAAATAAGAGTTTAATTAGGAGTATTGAAGACTCTCCCACCTAAAAAAAAAAAAAAAAAAAAAAAAAAAACTATGTTGAGTCAAACCCTGTCAGAAGCAGGGTCCAGCAACTCTCAGTATTACCTTTCAGATGAATGCAGGGCTGGAGCACTAAGCTAAATGATTGTGGGATCGCTTAGTATTGCACATAAAGCCTTTCTGAGCTTTTTAAAGGGAACATCAGATTGCTTAAAAAGAAAAGGAAAGAAAAGAAAAGAAAAAGGCTGTAGTTCTTGAAGTTCTTGAGTTAGCACGATGGAATGGGGGTGTCCTTTCCCAATGGACCCCAACCTGGGAAAGTCTTCCTAGGCAGGAAGTTTAAGTGGCTGCCAAAATTAACACCCCTGTGTCTCCTCAAGGCGCCCACCACCACTCTTGTCCTTTTCAACACTTCCCTTCTCTCACCAACATCCATTTCCTTCCACTGATGGAGCCTTCTGTCAAATTCTGTCACTTGCCACAAGGGCCCCTTCTTGCCTGTTAGTACTTCACACTCCTTTCCTTCAATTTCACACTCTCTGCCTCAGACTATCATGTTCTGCACCTCGCTGTAACCCTTGTGCCTCATTTTCCTCTTTGTCCGCCTCAGGAACTGCTCCTCTGCAGTTCCCTTGCCTCTACCCCTTGCTACCAAGCCTTCCACCAGTTTCCTCTCAGCCTCTGACCCACGCTCCTGACCCGTACCCTCCCAGCTTGGCCCTACCCGGCTGCTCCAGGGTCAGCGCCCCCAGGCGGCGGAGGCCCTCCTCGTCCAGATCCCATTGCTCCGCCATTCACGCCCGCCGCTCACCTGCCACCGCTCGCGAGACCGCCCCGCGCTCGCCGGACCACGCCCCCTCGCGCCAGGCCCCGCCCCTGGCTCAGGCCCGCCCCGCCCACTTGCTGAGGACCTTGGTTCTGTAGGGACCGTTAGAGGACGGGTCACGCGCCTGTCCGCCTGCCACAGAAGTTAGGACTATGGTATGGAGCCCGTCCCTGAGAAGGGCGCCAAAACCACTGAGGTGGCGACTGGGGGAGTTGGTGCCCAGAATGAAGCCTCAGGGATAGGGATCTGACTGGGATCTGAGGGTTGGAAGGCGGCCCTGGGGAGGGCTTGTATGAGTAGTTGAGAACATGCTGCCTTTAGGGTTGAACGCTTGTTCTACTGAGGATATGAGAGGCACCAGGTTTGAGGGGTGGAGGAGGTGTGTCGGTCTGAAGGGTGGAGGCCTTTGTACCTTGAAGGCCATTTTCGTTCTGGACACTGAGCAAGATGGGAATGACGTTTAAAGGGAAATCCAGATCTGACAGTTTGGGGGCGGGGCAGATACTGGCGGTCAATGGGAGAAAATGAGGTTGTGAAGAGTTGAGTCCTGTCTTTAGGGCACTGAGGTTCTATCGGGCTAATTTGATTTGGAAGGAGGTTGTACGGAAATGAGACGCTCTTTGGGATGGAGTTGGGAAACCTGTTCTTCTTCCCAAGCTGCGGATGACTGGAGGCTCTCCCCCAGGCGGACTAGTCCTTCACTAAGAAGCCCCTGAACAGTCTTTGGGGAAGAATGCTCTGGAAAGGGCAGCTACATTCCTAATGTTTACCAGGAAGCATCCCCTGAGGGCCTTCCCGTTGGTGAAACATGAGGAAGCAAATACTTGAACCAAGACCTTGTTTTTTTAATAAGCCTAGCTCAACCTCCAAGGAGCAGGTTTACTTTAGCATCCAAGTATGCCCAAATCGGCATACACAAGTATCTCTGCTGAACTTTCAACCCGCTAGGTACCTTAAAGAGAACAGGACAAAAAATCAATCCTTGTTTATCTGTGCTTTCTGATATAGGTGGGGCTCTTAGTTACTCTCAGTTCGTCATGTCCAGCCTAAGTCACGTTTAGAAGGCATGGAACTCACAATGACATTGGATTAGCTTTTCCAGTTCTGCTTCTGAGCCAAGAATCCATTTTATAATCTGTATTCTTTCTCTTCATGACTGCCTAGAGCTTTTCTAGTCCTAAAATGACATGTATAATGGTTCCTCTTCAGTTCAGAAATGTACACAAGGCTTGCTATAGAAGAAATGCCCTCTTCTTTATTATTAGGATTTATTTTTCTTGAAGAAGAGATGCAGGTTTTTGATGGAAGAGGAAGCTTTTCCCCCTTGAACAATCACCTTGTACTTTAATAGTCTTGTTCCCACTAGCACCATTCTTAGAGAATTTTAAATTAATTTTTAGTTAGCTTACAAACTAGTGGGTTCCATTGTGACATTTCAAATCTGTATATCATTCTCCTTTGTTTGTTGTGCCTTTCTCCCCTGAAGTAGTCCTACCTCTGCTGTTATGTCCTATTACTCTCTCTTTTTTTTATGCATATAGAGTATTTTTTATTTAATTTCATATAACAAAGTCCAATTAAATGAAAACAAACATTTATACACAATATTTGGGAATTTGGGGTCGTTCCACACACCCGGGGGGGGGGGGGGGGGGGTTCCCCCCGAAGAAGATTCAGATATCCTAGCTGTAGTCTGTAGGGCTGTTTTGTCCAGCTGTTTGGAATGTAGGGACCGCCTGGACCCCGGTTCCGGGGGGCGGGGGGGGGACAACACCATTAGGCGAAGGAATCCACACTTTCATTTTCTGTGGAAACAAAAAGAAATACTTTTCCCCAGTAACTTGTTCTTCAACTTAAATTTTGGAGTCAAAGCGTTTTTTTTTTTTTTTTTTTTTTGGTTGCCGGCCCCGCCCCCCCCCCCCCCCCCCCCCCCCCCCCCCCCCCCCCCCCCCCCCCCCCCCCCCCCCCCCCCCCCCCCCCCCCCCCCCCCCCCCCCCCCCCCCCCCCCCCCACACCAAAAAAGGGGGGGGGGGGGGGGGGGGGGGGGGGGGGGGGGGGGGGGGGGGGGGGGGGGGGGGGGGGGGGGGGGGGCGCCCCTGTCTATTGGAGGGGGGGGGGGGGGGGGGGGGGGGGGGGGGGGGGGGGGGGGGGGGGGGGGGGGGGGGGGGGCGCGGGGGGGGGGGGGGGGGGGGGGTGCGGGGGGTGGGGCGGGCCGGGGGGGGGGGGGGGGGGGGGGGGGGGGCGGGGGCGGCCGGCGGGGGGGCGGGGGGGGGGGCTGCGGGGGCCCGGCCCCGCGGGGCGGGGGTCCCTGTACTCACCGCATGGTCTTGTCCTCTCCATCTGCTTCTGGGTCTAGTTCCGGGGGGCGGCCCGGGCCTTCCACGGACTAGAGATTTTAAATTAATTTTTAGTTAGCTTACAACCTAGTGGGTTCCATTGTGCACATCTTCAAACCTGTATCTCATTCTCCTTTGTTTGTTGTGCCTTTCTCCCCTGAAGTAGTCCTACCTCTGCTGTTATGTCCTATTACTCTCTCTTATTTCCCCTTCCTTTAGACCTCTTCTCTCAAAGGCCCCTTTCTACTTTTATAAAATGTGTATATGTATAAATCTATATTCCATGTATGAAAGAAAATATGAGTCTAGCATATCTCCAATTCCATCCATTTTCCTGCAAATGTCAGAATTTCATTCTTTACAGCTTTATCTATTCACCTGTTGACCTCTAAACTGGTTTCCATATCTTGGCTATTGTGAATAGTGCAGCAAATATATCTTTGGCATGGTGATTTAGAGTTCTGTAAGTGTGTAGTGGTTATTTTTGTGGCCAACCTGCCCAGAGTTGGAACTACCTAGGAGGCACTCTCCTAGGAATATCTGTGAGAATATTTGTCTAGAGACATTTAACCAAGAAAGAAGAGCCACTCTGAATGCAGCAGCACCATCTAATGGTCTACAGCCCCTGCCTGAATAAAAAGGAGGGAGGAACATCAGCATACTTCTGCTTTCTGGTCTTTCCAGATGTAAAGAGTCCTAGCTTCATGCCTCTGCTCCCATGAACCCTGTCATGCCTTTTATGCCATGCTGGACTGAATGCTCTTAAATCGTGAGCCACAACAAATCCTTCTTATGTGACTATTATTATATGTGTGGGTGCTGGGTGCACATGCAGAGGTCAGAGGACAACTTTGTGGAGTCAGCTCTTTTCTTCCAGTTTGACATGGGTCCCAAGGATTAAACCCAGGTCACCAGGCTCCTTTATCCATAGATTTAAGGTGGCCCCTTAAATTGCTTTATACAAATACAAGTATTTTGTCACAGCACAAGATATATCTCCATGTGTGGTATAATTGGATAATATGATTATTTCTGTTTAGTTTTTTAGATTTCTGTAGTGGCAGCCCAATTTTAGCATTTGTTGTTTTCTTTTATCATTTTTATTGTTTATATGTATGGGCATATATACACATGATGTGTGTGGGTGCTCTTGGAGGACAGAAGAGGGTGCTTCATTCCCTAAGGCTGTAGTTACAGGTGGATGTGAGGCATTCAATGTGGGTAATAAGAACTGAACTACAGTCCTCTTGAAGAGCAAATAGTGTTTTGTTTTTCTTTTTTAGTTATTCAAAACAGGGTTTCCACTGGGATTAAAAGTAGGGCATTTCCTGGCACAAATGTTCTTTACCATTGAGCCATCTCTTTGGCCCCAATTTGGTGGTGTTCTCTTGAAGGACAGTCATTTTGACTCAGTGAGATGAACGTTCAGGGCAGCTTTAATTTGTATTTCCCTGATGGCTTATTTCCCTGAATATCTTTTCAAAAGTTACTGGCCATTAGAACCCTTCAGTTCTTTTTTAGTGACTTGATTTGTTTTTTAGTTATTTGAATCTGGGTTTTTTTTTAAATAAATTATTGCTGGATTGTGGTGGCCCACACTTTTAATCCCAGTAGTCAGGAGGCAGAGGCAGTCAGATCTCAGTGCTTTCAAGGCAAGCCTGGTCTACAGAATACATTCTAGGACAGCCAGGACTGTTACACACTGTCTCAAAAAATAAATTAATTATTTTAAAAAGATAGTGGTGTGTGTGTGTGTGTGTGTGTGTGTGTGTGTGTGTCCCCAAATGTGGTGGCACAGTCTGGTCTACCAAGTGAGTTCTAGAACAGCCAGGGATCTGCAGAGGAGCCCTGTTTCAACAAAACAAAGCCGATATATAAGTGCATTATCTGTATGCCTGGTGCCCACAGAAGCCAAAAGAGGATCCTCTGGAACTAGAGTTACAGATGACTGTGAGCTGCCATGTGGAAATGGGAACCAAACCTGGGTCCTGTGAAAGAACAGCCAGTGCTCTTAACCACTGAGTCATCTCTCCAGCTCCTGCCCTTTAAAAAATAGATTCTGGACATTAATCCTCTGTTGAATATATAGCCAGCGAAGATTTTCTCATTATGTAGGCTTCTTCACTTTGCTGATTGTTTCTTTCACTAGGCAGAAGCCTTTTAAATTCATGATCCTATTTGTCAGTTCTTGAGATTATTTCCTCTGTTTCATGAAGTACTTGGTATGACTATCTTTAAATGTTTGCCTGTTTTCCTCTAGCAGTTTCAGGTCTTACATTAATGAATTATCAATTCATTACATTCATTTTTGATTGATTTTGAATCATTTTTAAATTACATTTATTTATTTATTATTGTGGGGTTTGGTAGGCGGGCTATAACACAGTGCAAGTCAGAGGGTAACTTGAGGGAGTCTGTTCTCTCCACCAGGAAGATGCTAGGATCAAACTCAGATCATCAGGCTTAGCAGCAAGTACCTTCACCCACTGAGCTATCTTACCAACCCTTGAGTTGACTTTTGTGCAGTATTAGAGTTATGCATTTAGTTTCATTCTCACGTTTGAGACAGGGTCTCTCGAAGTGGAGCTCCTCATCTTTCAGCTAGGCTGAAAAAACCCCCAAGGATCTTCTTGTTCCCATCCCCCCACAGTGCTGGGGTTACAGGTGAACACTAGATCACACCTAGCTCTTTTACTTGGATGCTGGGACCAAATTCAGGCCCTCATGTTTCACAACAAGTGCTCTTACCCATCATTCCAGCCTTTCTCCCATCTCCTGCCTTTTAATACAGGGTCTCATTATGTAGCCATAATTGCCCTTGAATTCATTATGTAGCACTCACTATCCTCAGACTTGTAGTGATCCTCCTCCCTCTGTCTTCTGAGTGTTGGAATTACAGAAGCATGAAACCATGGTTGGCTTTTTAAATTGTTAATTTGTAAGATATAATTTGTCTTTAAAAATATTCTTCAGTTTTGCTGAGCTCATAACACTGTGTGTGTGTGTGTGTGTGTGTGTGTGTGTGTGTGTGTGTGAATTCCTTTGGATGTTGTGTGTACATTACCATGTTGTCAGAAAATATAGCTTAATACTTCTTGTCAGGATGCTTTCAATTTCTTTTTATTATATAACTCTCCTCATTTTACCTTTAGGAGGAACCTGGTGTGCCCCATGAATCAGCAGAGGATTTGTTTCATTTCAATGTTGGGGGCTGGCATTTCTCAGTTCCCAGAAGCAAACTTGCTCAGTTCCCAGACTCACTGCTGTGGAAAGAGGCTTCAGCCTTGACCTCTTCAGAAACCCAGAGGCTATTCATTGACAGAGATGGTTCCACGTTTAGGCACGTACACTATTACCTCTACACTTCCAAGCTCTCTTTCTCCAGTTGTGCTGAACTAAACTTGCTCTATGAGCAAGCCCTGGGCTTGCAGCTGATGCCTTTGCTTCAGGTAAGATGTGCTTCTCCTCCAAGAGTGATGTTCAGCAGCATCAATAAATGCGAGGCTGCTTTTTATATTAGTTTTTGAAGTATCCCTTTTAATGGGCAATGCAATAAATGAGTTAAAATGATGAATAATATACTGGGATGGCATGACAGCTTGTTTTTGACTCAAGATGTCACTGTGTAGGCAAGGACCACCTTGACTTTATGACCTCAAAGCCCCTGTTCACCAAGTGCCACACACCCAGTTTTTAACTACAGTGTTAACAGAGGCTTTCATCTGATTCTGATTTATTTGTATCAGCAGCCACAAGGGACATGAGATAGGAGTTAATGTTATTGATAGGTTATCTTAGGCTCTTTGAAATCTTATTTTAAACTGCCACTTACTTAATTTTTTTTTCTTTTTCTGAGGTGCTGTGTACAAAACCAAGGCCTACTGCATGCTAGGCAAATATTCTACCACTAAGCCACATCTCCAACCCTTGGGTGTTAAGTGTACTTTACTACCTGCCTGGTCCCACAGCTGCATCAGCCCCAAACGACACACAGAAACTGTTTGCCGGTTGTTAGCAGTTTTTATTGGGTAGCTCTGTCTAAATTATTACCAATAATAACTAATATATGTATTTCTACATGGTCTTATCTTATCAAGAACACCAGAATCATGCGTCCTCTCTTCCCAAGAGCATATCACCACTCTCTCCTACGTTTCCCAGAATCCTTCACCTCTCCTAGTCCCACCTATCTTGCTTCCATATTGGCCAACAGTGCTTTATTCATTAACCAATAAGAGAAACATATTTACAGAATGACATCTCCCATCATCTCTTTTCTGTCAAAATAAAAAGAAGGGCTTTAACATAGTAAAATATATAACAAAACAGTTATCAAATAAGAACTATAGTTAACAATATAGTACATTAACATTATCAGGAATTAAAGAAAATATTCTATCATCTATCTTTGTGAGTCTAAAGTCTTATATGTAACTTATCTTTAATCCTAAGGAAAACTATAACCATGACTGTCTTTAACTCCATCAAAGACTACAGAAGGACAATATATAAACTCTAGAATTGACAGAAACAATTCGCTGCCTGATCAGCCACCAAAGTTTTTTTGTAATGTTTTATCTTTGGCCCATAGGCCATAGTGTGTCTGGCAGACTCCTTAGCAAACTAGGAAACTTTAAATTGTCTTGCCTGTATTGGCAGTTTGTCAGTCATTTTCTGTGCCTTGTATAATGTCTGGCAGACTAATTCACAAAGCAGGAACCCTGCAGCAATGTCCATCTTGTTTCAGCAGTCACTTTCCTGTTGATCCTGTATGTCCATTTTATAAAGCAACAGTCAAATAGTCCAGATAAGAGCATTTTCTTGCCAAAATGGCTAGTTTTGCCATATTGGGAGCAAACTTCATAACAAGTTTCTTCAATGCCCATCTGCCTCTCAGACATAATTGGTGTTGTCAGGAGCAATTATGTCTCACTGTCAAGAAAAACCCTAAACCATTTTAAATGCCATATTCTGTAGGTCTTTGAAAGGTTTGAAGAATATCTATTCACTTCATATACATCTCTGTATGTCTAGAAAACCTAACTAACCAAAGTTTTTACTATTATAGGTAACTATCTATAAGCTGTACTAAATTATACATTATGTTTTTAAATGAGTTATATAAACATGATACTTAAACAAAAGGAGAAACATACTTATCATAAAATTGATCTTAAATTTGTATCAATAAATGAAAATCCATTCCAATATAAGGTTTTCATTTCTATATCATATTCCCCTTTTACCTTTAAAAAGAAATTGATTGTGGTCATTAACCATTTATAACCCACCCATCTAAATAAAAACGAACATTTATGGACAATATCTCTAAAAATCCCTTTTTAAGCTTTTGTTAAGTTTTAAGTGGAAGTTCTTAGTACTCATGTTGGGCACCATTTTTTTATATGCATTTTCCTGCCAGCCTGGTCCCACAGCTGAATCAGTCCCAAATAACACAGAGAGACACTGTATTAATTATGAAATTGTTGGCCAGTTGTTAGTGTTTTTTATTGGCTAGCTCTGTCTAAATTATTAACCCATAATAACTAATATATGTATTTCTACATGATCTTATCTAGAACACGAGACTAATGCATACTCACTTCCTGAGATCATATCTCAACCCTGTCCTACTTTTCCCCGAATTCTTCACCTCTCCTAGCCCCACCTATCTTGCTTCCCTATTGGCCAACAGTGCTTTATTCATTAATCAATAAAAAAAAACAAATTTACAGAATGACATTTCCCATCACTTGGGTTTTTTGTTTTGTTTTGTTTTTGTTTGGTTGGTTTTGGTTTTTTGAGACAGGGTTTCTTTGTGTAGCCTTGGCTGTCCTGGAACTAGCTCTGTAGACCAGGCTGGCCTCGAACTCACAGAGATCTTCCTGCCTCTGCTTCCTGAGTACTGAGACTCATGCCATCCAGCTGGGATGCTTTTTTTTATGTTCAGGCTGTCCTGGAATAACTAACTTTGAAGCTCATACTGTCCTCAAACTCAAAGAAATCCTCCTGCCTCAGATTCCCAAATGCTGGGATTGTAGGTGCGGACTACCATACCTATAGTAGGCCTTGGGTTTTATTTTGTTTTGGTGCTTTTTTGTTAGTGTGTATGTGATGAGTGTATATGGGCATGTATGCCATGGTGTGCATGCAGAAGTCAGAACAACTTTTTGGAGTCACTTCTTCCCTTCCAGTGTTATGTGGGTTCCAGAACTGGAGCTTAGGCTGTCAGGCTTTGTGCAGCAAGGCCCTAACCACTTGAGACATCTTTCCAATTCTCTCTTGGGACTTTGAGACAGGCTTCTCATTTGTGACTCCAGCTATCCTTGAACTTGAAATCCTCCCCTCTGTCTCCCAAATACTGAGATTAACAGGCTTGTGTTGTGAACTTTTAAAAGGAAAAAAAACTGTACAACTTCTAGGATTTACTATGTACACCATGTCTGAGATTTAAAATCTGTAAGATTCATCACAGGCACAGTGGCACACATCTGTAATTATAACTACTTAGAAAGCTGAAGTGGGATGAGTTCTTGAGTGCATAAGTTTAAGACTAGCCTAAGCAACATAGGGACAACTCACTTTTTAAAAAAAAACTTCTCATTGTTCCTATAAGGTACTCAATATTCACTTTGGCAAAGCAAAAGCTCTCCAATTTGAAGAATCCTGTCTTTGTCTTAACTTCTTTATTTTCCAAGAGACTTTTTGTTTTTGTTTTGTTTTGTTTTTGTTTTGTTTTGAGACATGGTCTCACAGTTCTGGCTCTCCTTTCTTGGAACTCACTATGTAGACCAGGCTGCAGGGTGGCCTCAAACTCAGAGATCTACCTACCTTTGCCCCCTAAGACCTGGGATTAAAAGCATGGAACCCTATACCCAGCCTAAGAGCCTTTTAAATTTTTAAAATTCTTTGCTTGTTAAGATTCATTTATTTTCTGTGTGTGTGTGTGTGTATTAGTATGTACATCATATGCATACAGGTACCTGTGGAGACCAGAAGAGGGCATCAGATTCTCTGGAACTAGAATTAGAGGCAGCTGTGAACAGCCACTTTGGAGGCTGGAAACTGCACCTGGGTTCTCTGAAAGAGCAGCAAGTGCTCTTAAACTGCTGAGCCAAAGAGACTTCTTTTCATTTTTCCCTTTATTTTTGTTTTTACTTTTGACCCTGTTTGGGGGCCAGAGTCTTATATAGCTCTGGTCAGCCTGGAACTCACTAGGTAGATCAGCCAGATTTCAAACTCAGACATTTGTCTGCCTCTGCCTCGAAGGTGCTAGTGATTAAAGGTGTCACCATATCCATTGTTTTTTTTTTTTTTTTTTTTCTTTTTGGTGATTTGAGACAGGGTCTTATGTGGCTCAAGTTGATCTAGAATTTACTATGTAGCCAGTGGTAACCTTGAACTCCTGATCTTCCTGCTTCCACTTAGTGCTGGGATTACAGGCATATACCACCATACCTTTTTGTATTTTTATTTTTTCATTTCGAGAAAGGGTGTCAAGTAGTCCACATTGGCCTTGAACTAACTATACAGCTGAGGAGGACCCTTAATTTCACTTTCATGCTTCTGTGTCTCACATGCTGGGATTACAGTCTTGTGTCCCTATACAACCTACTTCCTTCCTTTAAAATTTTTTGTTTGCTTTATGATTTTCACTCGTGTGTGTATATGTCTTCGTGTGCACACACAGGGTATAGATCCTCATGAAGGCTAGAAGTGGGCATCAGATTCCATGGAACTGAGTTACTAGTGATTGTGATAGGCCCAATTTGGGTGTTGGGAACTGAACTCAGATCCTCTGAAAGAATAGCAAGCTCTTTTACCACTGAGTATTTCTCTTTAGCACAGTTCTTCCCCTCCCTTTCTCTCTCCCTCCCTCCCTTCCTTTCTTCCTTCCTTCCTTCCTTTGGTCAGTCTGTCCGTCCCTCCATCCACCCATCCTTCCTTCCTTTCTTCTCTTTTCTTTCTTGGGGGGTGGGGGATTTAAGACAGGGTTTCTCTGTTTATCTCTGACTGTTCTGGCACTCACTATGTAGAACAGACTGGTCTTGAATTTAGAGATCTCCTGGCCTTTGCCTCCCTGAGTGCTAGGATGAAAGTCATGAAATACCACTGCCCAACTGCACCTGCCTTTCTTATTTTAAGAGCTTTAAATACCTTTACTGATAAAGCATCAAAGTATGACAGAAAATGGAAGCATGACTTTTAAGTTTTCTCCAAGCCACAGAAATAATTTCTGTGATGGCTGTACTTAGTTTTTATTTGGTAGTTTTTGAACAAGAACTTTTCTTTTAACCTGGAAAAACTAAATATGACTAAGAGGGAAATCTGACTATGTTCCATATCATTCTCACTGTCTGGACAAGGTGTTGTTTATTCCATTTACATAAGAACTAGTCCATCAACTATAGTGCATCTCTATTATATATAGTGCATCACTAATTATGCC